AAAGGTGGGTCACTTTTGACCCTCCTCTCCGAAGCTGAAATCCTCCCCCCGAGCCCCCCAGTAACACGCTGAGAGGATTCAGGGAGAGGCAAAACCATATTGGACTCAAACAGTCGCCCTGGAAAATACCCCGTCGTATCCTTATCCGGTATTCCGCAGCCGTCATCCGCTCGCCTAGATGACAAAGGATCGTACTCCATTGCCCCATACAGTGCTCGAGGAAGTCTCTTACTGTACAGTCTACTTTGTACAGTTCGAGGACCCTCTTTAGCCATGTATGGGGCACAGAGTCGAATGCCTTTTTGTAGTCTATCCAGGCGGCGGAGAAGTTCCGACGGTTGCGTTTAACCATTTTGCCAATGACATTATTATTATTATTATTAATATTTTCATATATTCATTTGTTTTCTCGTCTGGTTGGGTTTATAAATAAAAATAAAAATAAAGATATATATTGCATATATAAAATAAATATTATGTATAAAAATAAACATATATATATAAATATTTTATATAATACATATATAAATAGGACCCAACCAGACGGAAGCCCTCGGCAGGGGAGACCAAACGGCCGAGGGTTAGGGCGAAAGGGAGAGAAACCGGCGGACGATGCGGGCGGTATCGAGGAGCACCGCCTTCTGCATTTGAGCTTGGAGCGATCCGTCCCGGAGTCCCAGTCGCCTCAGATGTTTAGAGAGGCTGACTGGGATTAACCCATTGGCAGAAACGACTATCGGGATAATTTCAGTCGGCACACCACCCCACATGTCGGTCACCTCGTGAGCCAGGTCCAGATACTTTGTCTTCTTATCTGTTTCGGCTTTCACGAGGTTTTCGTCATATGGAATGGTAATGTCGACCAAAAATACCCGCGACTGTGCCCGGTCCATCACCACGATATCAGGTTTGTTCGCAACAATAGTCCTGTCCGTGATGATGGGCCGGTCCCAATAGAGCCTGGCGCGGTCATTTTCGAGCACGGCTTCCGGATAGTACTTGTAGTACGGCAGTTTTCGAACCACGAGGCCGTATTTCAGAGCGAGCTCCTGGTGTAAGAATATTATTAGCTCCTGGTGTATTAATATTATTATTAACAAGTGCGACACCCGCATCGGTTGTCGATCTGTCTTTAGTGAATCCATATTGCTCATCGTGAAAAATTTTGTTCATATTAAAATGTACTAATAGTTGATTTGAAATTAGTTTTTCAAATATTTTACTTAGAGATGGCAATATGGAAATAGGTCTATAACTACCTGGATCATTTTATCCCCACTTTTGAAGACGGGGATTATCTTACTAAATTTCATAAGATCTGGAAATATTCCAGAATCTATACAGTTATTAAAAATGTAAGCCCAATGTGGTGCAATATATGGCATTATTGTGGTCATTAATTTTATTGACATGCCCCATAAATCCTCTGTACTTTTAAGATTAATAGAATTCAAGGCTTTTATGATATCATTAGTATCTACGTGATTAAATTTAAACGTGTATCGACAATGGGTAACATTATTTTGCAATACATTAATTGCAGCTATGGGAGAGGATTTTATTGTGCATGTGGATTTACATTAACTGCAATTTCTGAAAAATGATTTTCGAAGCTATTTGCAATTTCATTATCTAATGTTATGGGAGTATTACCTATGATAAGTTTTATAGGTTCCCTGAATATCTTGGGTCTTCCAGATATACGGGTAATGATGTCCCAAGTGGCTTTTATTTTATTATTTGAATTTAGAATTCTTATATAAATAGATTTTGCCTGGGCACAGACTTTTTTAAATCTTTTTGAGAACGTTTGTACCCGCTTATGGACATTAGGGTCGTGATTCCACTGCCCCATATTATATAATTCATATAGTGAATCCCTACTTTTATATATACCCACTGTTGCCCAGTCATTAAATTTTAATTTCGAATTTTTAGTAATTATGCGTGATTTAAAAGTATCATTATAAGGAAATCAACCATTGATCTATAAGAATCATTGGGATTGACTCCTATATCTTTATAGAACATATGCTGTGCCAATTTATATCTAAAAGAATTTATTCTGTTTGTAGTTACTGGCCTACACGTTATCTTAAATTCCCTTTTAGTAATTTTGTCTTTTATAAAAATTTCAAACCAGAATGATCAGAGCTCAGACAGTTTATGATTGATTTTTCATATACTATATTGTAACAGAATACATTGTCTATACATGTGGAAGATGAGTTAGTGACACGAGTTGGTTCATGATAAAGATTTTTAAGTTTAAATGAACTAAATAAATTTAAAAGTCGTTTACTAAGTTGTGTCACTTGTAATAAATCCACATTAAAATCTCCACAAACTATTACTGCTTTACTACTTGAACAGAGTTTTTTTAAGGACATCATCCATTACACACTCAAACTGATCGAAATCACCTGAGGGGGGCCGATACACGCATACTATAATATACTGTTGACTCTCAACGCAGGATAATTCTATAGAACGTTCGACAGAGTGTGCCACTATATCCTGTGGATTTTTACATACTATATCAGTTCTTACTAATACAAGAGAGCCATCGCGAATAGCATTTACTCTTACGAACGAACTTAACAATTTAGAGTTTTCTATATCTACAATATTATAATGTTTATGTAACCATGTCTCTGGGAAGCAGATGACATGAATATTAAATTTTCTGAGAAACAGTTCAATTTCAGGTTCTTTGCCACCTATGCCTTGTATATTTTGATAAACGATATTTAATGTAAGGGTTGTCTCAATGTTTAGTTTAAACTAACATTGGTGTTTGAGAAATGATTACTAAGTAAAATGTTCTTAGTTGTACAATGTACAACTGGGTTTTGTATATTATATGCTACAAAAGTAGCAATTTGTTTCTTATAATACAATGGCAAATAGCAAGTATTTTTTGTCACCTTAAAACTAGTCTTAATAAAACTATTTATGTCAAAATAGTATATAATATTATGTATAATATAATATGTATAATATATAATATTATGTATTTATCTATGTATTTATATATTATTATTATTATAGGTATTTAAAGTATAAGAAAAAAAATATTAACGGAATTATTATTTTTAATATAACACGAATTTGATACAAACACACAAACGGAAAGTTCAAAAATTTATTACAGCACACTTCACAAAACATACATTTTGTACAAATATTTTACACCAGACAAGTGTAGACAGATAAATTATTGATCGAGGAATGTTGAATGTAGTACTAGATCAATAGCTGTTTTAAAGTTTCAAGAAAATTAAATAATTTAAATCATATATCTGAAATTTATATAACAGATAAAGTACGGAGTAATTTAAAAAAGATTTATAACCAATAAAATGATTACATATAAAAACTACATGGCTTCATTAACATATATGCAAATATGTTTGGTGATATTAAGTATGTAAATTGAAGTTAAATGGCCTGCAGAATTATTTGAAATTAGCAATTTGGTCTTATAATAGAATCCACCTAAACATTTTTAATTGTACACTTAAATTAAACTAGAATATTATGTCCTCAAATAACTCCAAAGCTTTGCTATGGTTTTATGTGTACTATGATGAAGTAATTTCGTTTGGAGGCAACAGTACAGCTGTCTATACTAACATTCTTTTGTTAAAAACATATATTATTTCTTAATTCCGCAACGATCCCACGATGTAATAACTTAAGAAAAATAAACAAATTGTTATAGTAATAGTTTCGCAATTTAATAGAATAAAAAATAAAGCTAAAATATTTTCAAAAGACCTACAAAATATGCATGTTAAACACACTTTTGGTGTGAAATTTAGTCATTTTCCAATTTCTCTGTAATGAAAAGTTTGACTGTGCGCTACTATAAGAAATATACCATGCAATCCATAACATCTGCAAATTACTAATATAAAGACATTAACAGAAAATCCTTAACAAGCAACCCTACTTGCAAATGGAAGATGAAATAAAAACTGCTGATCATCTTTTCTTTTACATTAAGTGTTTGACACATTTCATTCACACACTTACAATTTCATATTTTTGCAATAACATTAAGATGTTATAAACATTTCCAACCTTGAATAAATATAACAGATTGCTTCACAAACAATTTTTGTCTGGTTTAATGCTACGCGGATTGATTCAGATTAATTATTTATCATGTATGGAACATAAAAATACTTACTTATCACAATTAATATTCTATTTTATTTAAATGTCGCCAACTCAAGACAAAAATCTTAAATGGGTGGGGTATACAACACAGAAGTAAAGTAGAAAAGTATTATAATTAAAATTTTCTAGCAACTCTACCAGGACATTTGAAGAAAATGCATCTATGTATCTAAATGGCCAACTGAAACAAACTGGGTACCAGTAAATAGATTGACTTTATAACTTAAGTGCATCATCAATACTTAAAATTAAGCAAGAGGAAAAATCATTGAAAACCATTTGGCAGTAAATATTAATTGATATTTCTGGCTGATAATTATTAATACATATGTATGTATAATGATGAGTATGATCATTAAGACAATTATATATACAAAATAGTTTAAAATATGAATACATGATTTAACATAGTTAAATAGTATTTTTTTAAATAATAAAGTATGTATGGTACAAGCATTAGCATTTGAGTTTGTTATTTTAGTTTAGAAATAATATAGTTACTTTCATTCAATAAGGATTTTTTGTGTTGGTCAGTTTTCTGTTAGTCACAATCACTGCTATAAGTCAATTGCAATTATTGTTTCTATTTATGAATTCCATAAGTTTTGACCTAATGAAAACATGAAAACATATTTTGTAACAACTTTGTTCACAATTGAAATAAATGTAAAATAATATAAATAATTGAAAAGAGATGGTGAACATTAAAGAAAAGAAATAAAGTTGAATTGAGATAAAAAGTTTTTACTAAAGCACTTCTTTATTTAGTGGCTTTGACTTACACTAAATTCCAAAACTAATTTGCTGCAGCCTTATAATTCATCCCTCAGAAGCGTGTATCTATTTTTAGATGGCGCTAATTTTTTGAATGTTGATTCTGGTGGAGTAGTGACCTTCATATCAGTATTCACAACCACTTGAGGGCTCTCAGGACCATAATGAAACTCCCTGGAATACATTATACATATACGAATTTCAGTGTTGAAACAATAAAAACTGGTTTGAATTTCATTAAAGGCAAAAAAGTTGTTCAATGACATAAAATGTATCAATAAAATTATTCATAATTAAGTTTTTATTAAATGTAATATAAGACATTTAAAATAAATTATTTGAATCGAAAAGGTCATACTGGTACAAATTTAGACCAACTTAATTAAATCGATCATGTATAAAACATAATGCATAAGTAGAAATCTAGTTTCCATGTATTTATAATGACATTACAGTTGTAATGCAATTTCTCAAAAGTCATACAATTCCTTTTTTAAAAACATGTGCTTTTGATTTATTTTGTGACAACAGTCAGATATATTAAATAATGAATTTTGCATTTGACATTTATCAAGTTTTATATTTCTTTAATCCTTAAAACTCTTATGGCATCTGATGCATATAATTACCTGTGAAGTTTTCCCGAGTACAAGTCTTGTAGGAACTGTTTCAACTTGTTGGGCTTTTCCATGTCATTGTAATCAGGGAACAAGTACATGTGACGGAAGGAATCAATTGCTATTAAAGGAAGATCAGATACAGATTTGCCCAAATGGTGCAGGGGGTGCTCGAAGCGCACACCGTCAGCCGTGAGGAAGTTTACATTTTCTAAAAAAAACAACACGAAAAGCAAGTGTAAATTATTGTTAAGTTTTTTGGCAGTAAGTTTTCACTGTTTGTCTATTCACATTATTCATCTAAGTAATACGTAAAAACTATGCATTGAATATTATAATCCCGAGCTTAACTTTTTGCTGCAATACAGATCTCTAGATTTAAACAGTTTTATCAACATATCGTCCTATATCATGTTATAAAATAATGTTACAATACCATTTTTTTTTAAATTGAAATCCACTGAAAATTCCAATTATTTATTCATGGCCTGAACTTTCCAACTTATTAAATAAATTAAAATAAAGATAGAGGTTATCATATTTAAAAAAAAAATTAAAAAATAATGGAAAATAAAGACAGATGTTGTACTTTTTTACAGTATATAAATATCGGGCGCACAGCGCATTTGCCTGGAGTATCTAAGAGACCAGAAGATGCAAGTTCTAATCCTGACAGCACCAATTTTTTTTTTTCGAAAATTATCTATAATAGAAATAATAGTAAACATCTATAGGAAAGGCAGCACTACAAAACAATAATAAAAATTCATTGTCAGTTAATAAAAACGTTATTTGAAAGTCCGCATACTTTAGCTTGCTCACTAGGTGAAAAAAAATTTTTTTTTGAGAAACACATTCAAGTTTTAAGTCTAGACTAGCACTAAATATAAAAACATAATCGTAAATTATAATCATATTGGAAAACCTACTAAATAAATCAGAATTGGATATGATCCAATTTATCTAAATATTAACAACGGCATGTCAAATTTTAAGTCAATATAAACAAAAGTACTGATAGGCAGATAAAACTGGTGGTAAATGATAAGGACATTAATAAAAACAAAAGAAAGATAAACAGGTAATGTTTTCATATTCCAACATATTAACATTTAGTAATAGACATAGGACTATACATACGTTTTTCTGATACAAGCTCTCTATTGATGACTTCTTTGTACTTCTTTACACTTTCAGTGTCAGTGGGGTGATGAAACAAAATTAAAAATGGCAGCCCATCTTCTGTAAGTTCTTCTGCATTTTCAAATGTTATCTCACGTACTAAAGGTATGCATTTTTCTTGGACCCAACTGTATAAATCCTCAAAACTATTAAGAGAGCCACGGTATGTCTCATCAGGCTCAGTGGAAGTCTTCCGATCAGCTCTAAATACAACTATTGGTTGACCTGTTGAGTACATTTTCTACCAATTAACTAGTTTTACTCAACTTTTTTATTATATTAAAAGTTAATATTTAGGACAATTAAATCTTTACTTTATCTCCAAATTAGCCTAACTAAAGGTGGAATTAGGAACATAAGTTTTACATATTTCAAGAACATTTCTTTTTCATATCCTGCAGTTGCAAGAATGGGTATGTTCATCTGGGGCAGTGCTTCAGCCTCCAGCCTCATAGAAGACCAACAGAATATAATATGTTTATATATACTTGTGCTTTTTATCTGGTTGCTGGAATAAATGGATCCATTCATCTTAAAGGTTGGTATTATAAATCCAACCTCAGCCATGTTACAAACATTTCCCTGGGTATTAGTAATGGCATACACTCAAGTGAATCTCTTACATCTCTGCCACTTTCTCTCATAAGACATAAACAGAACAATATTATTATATGATATCAAAACTAAAATAATTACCTGGTGGATGCATTTGTTGAGAAGCATCTCCAAAGCCAGCATGGAAAATACATTCATCTTTAAGACTTGCGGCCACTCGCCGGATCACTTCATATTCAGGCTGATCTCTTCTGTCCATATATGCTATAATATGTCTTTTGTCTTCACTTAAATCATGAAGTTCTTTAAGAGAGCCAAAGTTTTTAATAGGATCAGTCAGCTGCTTCTTAATGAATTCAGCAAATGCTTCTACTGAACGTTGACCTAGAATAATATTCAAATAATAAAAATTACTGTAAATTAAATTTTATCACATTTCATAAATTTTGTGCTAAAAGTATACAAAATTCTTACCTATCATTATATATTAAATAACGAAAACATTTTAAGGCAATTTTACACAGTGTTGCAAATCTTTTTAATTATATAATCAAAAAGCCTAGTTTACTTATAATATGCCTCCAAAATATTTTAAAAAATATTATACATTTTTATAACAATAGTTTAATTCTTTGTCTATTTCATATTTTATTGATATGTGTAGTACTATTTTATCATCATCATTTAATTTGTTAAGTAATTAAATACATAATTTCTAATATTTTAAAATGCATACTAAACTACTAATGCATGCAAAGTAATCTAGAATCGCATGTTTATTTAAATCATTTATTATTTTTATAATAACCAGAGAATATCTTTATTTATAATGCAATTTAAATCAATCAAATAAGTCTCAAATGATGTAAAATTTCAAATGAATATTATTAAATAAAATAAAAGACAGAAATTTACATAACAATCACTGTCACTATTATAATAATAGCTTTTTAATTGATTTAGGATTATGTCAGATGTTCTTTATTAAATTTTTATATAAGAGAAATTTATTTAAAAAGAAAATTACTAGTATGTTAATTGATTATGACCAAGATAACATTTATTAAATTGATCTATATTTACAGATTTATCATGTTTATTTTAAAATTTTATTTCCCGATGTTTCAAAACCTTTTTCAAGCCTGGATTAACTATGACATTCAGACATTCAACAACTCAGTCTATCCCATGACCATGAACCTTGTAAAGGATTAATGTGATTTATTGATAATTTAAAAATAAATGTGATAAATCCATAAATTTAGTTTAATTAAAGAATGTGTAATCATTACAAGAAAATATCAAGATAACATTTAATTAATTTATTACTTAATTTACACTAAATCATAATAACTTTGGGTTTACTTACCTCTATATTCCTTTTTGGCTGGAAGTCCATTACGAAACAGTTTAAGTGTAGGATACTTTGTTATGTGAAATCTTGTGGCTATAGAACCTTCTTTATCACAGTCTACCTTTCCCATAACAACTTTGCCTGTGTCATAACCTTCTTTTGATACCGCATCCGCCGCATCATCAAAAATCGGCATTAGCATATTGCTAAATTTGCACCATTCGGCGTAAAAGTTAATGAACACAACCTCATTAGACGCTGTAATGCAAGTTTTCAAAATATTATTCATTATCGCAATGTTAAACAAAAGCAAATTAAGAGTGACTTACCTAGTACCATGTCCAAGTTGCTTTGAGTAATCTGTACAGCACCGCTATCAGTCGGGTTATAAAAACTGTGGCAAATCTGAAAAGTAACAATATAGATAAAAGTAATGTAATTGCTTATTTCTAATAGACCATAAAATCAAACAACCAATTGGTGGTACGTGTACCGATTTTGAAAAACAATGTACCATTAGACTTACCAAAATTATAAGAATGGGTACTATTTTATAAGATAAAATATTTTTTATGTTTCTTAACATTTTGCTGGTAAACTAAACAATGTTGATACGCCTGGAAATATACACTACATGAACTGAACTTTCTCAGTGTATCCATCCAATAATCCAATATACATCAGCCACCGGACAGACAGATCGCCACTTGTCATTCGTTTACTTTCGATTCATATCGTTCGTATTCGTCACAGACCACAGATTATACACGTTAACTTTCTTCATACCGTACTTTAATTGATTTGAATAAACTTTTTTTGTATATAATTTGCTGTTATTCAAGGAATTAACGTATCGTTAGTATGTAAATTGCTTGCTTTTAGCACGGTATTTTTTGCTTGTAATTGTATTTTGCTATTAGCCCGGGCGGCAGGGTAGATGACCCGCGGACTTGGGAGTTACATAGGCACGAAGTCGACACAATGGTGCCTTCCACTCCACTGCAACTTCACAATATTCCGCTAACGAGGGATGGACCATGGATGGATGTCAGTATATATAATGTACTCTTTGAGATGGATTAGTAGGGAGCACAGCACGATCGAATCTTGGTTTGACCGCGATTGTGGGATCTGTCTGCGGGAATTAATCATAAGACATACCGACGCGAGTCGAACTATCACTTGATTTATATGATAATATTATTTGTTTCCGAGAAATTGTACTTTTGCGCTAAGACAATGTTAACAGAATTAACAAATTCGCGAAAATGTTCACTCACTAACGAGCAAACGATCGTATGTACACTCTTTATTAAGTAACAACAACGATTTCGATATAGTATATTTTATATCGGAACAAAATATATAAGCTAAGAATATCGATATATTTAATCAAAAAATGTTTTCGACATCTCTACTCTAGTCAAAAAATTAACTAGACACCGATATTTATAAAAATTTCAATATCGGCTTCGATATATCGAAAAAAAAGGTCGATATGTCCGACAAATATTCGGTTTTAAAAAATAATGTACTTATTTCCTTACAATCCACTGGCAACACTGCTTAATATACGAGCAGTAACAATTATACCTAATAACGCTTCAGCAGCCCTAGACGACTCCGAAAAAGCCGAATGCCTTGTGGACAACCTAGAGCAGCAATGTACACCATCGCGCGAACACACCGATACAGCCCACCTAACGGAGGTGGACCGCGTAATCGAGATTAGGGCTGCGCTTCCACCGGAAGGCGATCCTTTAAGTTCAGTGACCCCCGAAGAGGTCCAAGACATTATTGAAAATTTAAAACCGAAATCCACCCCGGGCTCAGATAATATTAGTAACAAAATTCTTAAAGCTCTCCCTGGGCCGCTTATCGGTTTACTGACGACCGTTTACAATACTTTACTCCCCGGTTGTTCCTTTCCGGACGACTAGAAAGAAGCCACGGTTATCGGCATTCGCAAGCCGAATAAACCAGCCCTCTAGTTATCGTCCCCTCAGCCTCCTCCGTTGGGAAGCTTTACGAGCGGCTTCTATTAAATAGGCTCAAAGAGCACGTGTTTTCCAACGGCCTTCTGCTGGTGGTACAATTCGGCTTTGGAGCTAGACATTCCTGTCCAGATCAATTATTCCGCCTAACAGAACATATCCTAAAAGGCCTAAATCACCGTAAGCATATTAGTACAGGGGCTTTTCGATGTCGCAAAAGCATTCGACAAGGTCTGGCACAATGGCTTGCTTTACAAGCTGTACACACTCAAAGTGCCAGATAGGCTTGTACACACCATGCGGGCCTTCCTGTCGAACCGCTCTTTTCGATATCGAGTTGAAGGCACCCTCCCTACGCCGCTTCACGGCCGGCATTCCACAAGGCTCCTGCCTCTCACCTTTGCTCTTTACGCTCTACACGAGCGATATACCTAAAAACCCCCACGTCAATCTCGCGCTTTTTGCGGATGACATGGCGCTCTTTTATTCAGACCGCAATCTTAGTCAACTAACCACTCGACTCCAAAGCGCCGCCGACCACCTCGGTGATTGGTTCCGCAAATGGAAAATAGAAGTAAACCTCGGAAAGAGTGTGGCGATTCACTTCACACGAAGTACTTACCCGTCACATCTTTATAATGGCCCTCGCCAGTGCAGAAAGTTGGGCACATATCACTTTATGGTCAATCGCTCCCCTGGGAGAAAAAAGTCAAATACTTAGGAGTCACTTTCGACTCGCGTATGTTATTTACTACGCACATTAATAAAGTTCGTAATAGAGCCGCGTTCGTCTCCAGCCGGCTACACAATTTAACTAACGCTAAAATGCCCTTAAGGCACAAATTATTATTATATGAGACCTGCGTATGACCTATTATGTCCTACGCATGCATGACCTTAGCCCACACGCACCCTACTCGCTTGTCAAGTTGCAAATAGTATAAAATAAGTTCACCCGCTGCGCAACCGGTGCGCAGACAATTCAGGAATATTTTAAAGACCTGACCAAACGGTTCTTCCATAGAGCCGAACATCATCCCAACCCTCTGGTGGTAAGCGCAGCAAAAACCAACCCCAAGAACGTCAACAAGCGTCGCCCGCGAAGCGTCCTCATTGACCCGGTCGAGGAAGGGGACTTAGATACATCGGAACCACCGCCGTGGGTCTCGCCGGATAGCACTACACCCACAGTTAGTGCAACAACAAATACCTAGTGTATTTCGCCCTCGCCTCCGAGTACGGCGAGACTATTGTTACGAACACACAAAGAAACTAGCGCCATCTAGCGTCAACTAGTAAAACCACTCAAAGAACAAAGACAACATAAAACCCCCTATTCAATACTAGATGGCTTTACAGGAACTACTGTGGAACTATAGTCTCGAAGACCGGGTACATTCGCGAACTTTCCGGAATCACGATCACGTTCGCGCAAGTCGGGTACGTTCCAGGAAAGAACTTTCTGGAATAGTCTGGGGCTCGTCTCGGCCCATATAAAAAGCCGCTGAGAGGCGAGCCAGTTCAGTTCAGTTTAAGCTACCTTCGAGGCGACTTCTGAATGAAAACTAGTGATCAAGAGCGATACCAGTGAAACCTACGACTTGGCTACAATCTAGGACATCGTCAGTGCTTACTGTTTGGACCTAGTGATTTGTGTTGGACCTAGTGTTAGTGAATAAAGTCTTCAAGAGAGTCAGCAGGCCTTTCTCTCCAAATCCTTCGAACCCTAACACACTTTTCGGTGGTAGGGCCACGCAGCAGCCTCGGCTGTTGCACGAATGGGCAGGCCCGTCCGGGTAACCACGACCTCACAGAAAACCAGCGTAAAGTGACAGTATGACAAATACTTTCGCGTTTCGTCTGGTGAGTGAGGTAGCCGGAGCCCAATTTTCAAAAGGTTGTCAACGCATCTGTAACCCTCGGGTGTGGCAGATGTCCCTGGGCGGCGGTATTTACTTAACATCAGGTAAACCGTCTGCTCGTTTGACAACTTTTCGCATAAAAAAAAAAAACCCTTATTAGTTAATTGTGGTAACTTACGAACATATTAATTTCCTTGTAAAATTTCGACGTTTCATAAGAACGAGCAAGCATCTATGTGAATAAAGATATTTTATTATTTATTATTATTTATAATTGCACAGTCAACGGCCATCGGGGTTTCGGTCCGAACCGTGACTATACATCCACCATAGTTAAACGCACGCATGAGCACATGTGCGGCCCTACCCACAGCGGAGGGCCCAAGCCCGAGGGTTCTCGCTAGCCCACCGGTTCTGCGTCAGATGAAGCTTTAATAGTCTCGGGACTGAAAGCAAAAACATCAGTTAATAAAAGAACTAATAAACATTAAACCATATTTGGTATAACATTATATCATAAACCATGCTTAATAATGGGGAGGGGAAGCTAGGGTATGGTCTTGGTGGGAATCGCTGTAAGTGAGAGCAGCATTACCTAAAAAGTGCCAAGAAACCATCTGCTATACTCGTGGCGGAGTACCATAAAGCAGAGCCTTAGCCAGTCCGAGTCATCCACGTCCCCGTCGTCCTCCCTTGGACCTGCTGCAAGCGCGCAGTCGCGCGTACGCCACCCTAAGTTGCAGCTGAGCTAACGGATGCAGGGCGAAGGGCGAATATTCTGCGCCTTAAAACAGAACCGACTCACTAGGGAGGATACCCGAAACGAAACCGAGCATATCCGTAGGCTCTAAAGTGGCAGCCCCGCTATCGGATTAAGGCACAGTGGGCTAATCACTCGCTTGCCCGACAATGACAGATTCTAGAAACCGAAACAGTAGAAAACCGGACCGATCCTTTACCGACGACTTTTGGCATGAAAATACGGACACGAATTGCATTTTGGAATGTACGAACGCTTGGCGATGACAGTCGACTATTACAAGCAGAAGCAGTAGTACTGAGATACAACCTGCAAATACTCGGCCTAAGCGAAGTGAGAAGAAATACTTTTGGTGAGCTGAGAACACCTGGCGGATTAACTTTGCTGTATTCGGGTAAGGAAAGTGAGGAAGATGTGCGCGAGTATGGCGTGGGGCTCCTTCTTTCTAATACAGCCAAGAAAAGTCTGCTGGACTGAGACCAATCTCAGACCGGATCATGTACGCCCGTTTCAACTCAAGAGCTCGGAAAATATCGATTGTACAATGCTACGCCCCAACTAATGCATCGCTAGAGGATACCAAAGACGACTTCTACAATGCCCTTAATGCAACCCTTAGGAGTATAAAGAAACAGGATATCGTCATCGTCATGGGGGACCTAAATGCAAAGGTTGGGAGTGATAACACTAACCGCGAGCGGCACATGGGAACACAGGGCCTTGGTGTATCTCACGAGAACGGGGATCGATTTATCGAGTTCTGTCAGAACCATGACTTAACCATCGGTGGAACGCTGTTTATTCATGGCAACCACCACAAGTACACGTGGAATTCACCGGATGGAATCACCAAAAACCAAATTGATCATCTTGCCATCAGTTCCAAATGGCGTTCTTCTTTGCTGGATGTTCGCAACCGTAGGGGGGCCGATATAGATAGCGACTACCATCTGGTGGTTGCTGAAGTTCG